TCTGAGGCAGAAAGTCAGATGGGACAGCAAAAAGTATTTGAGTAGCTAAATGGTTGCTTGATAGTCTATTTCATAATAGGGATTGGATTAGAATTTAAGATGAAGTGGTGTTAGATGTCACTAACATTAAATCTTATCTTGATGTTTTGCCTCTTCAAGATAAATAAAAAGCTCTGGAACTGACTTTTTCTTTGAATCAGAAATATTGGGAAGTGGATAGCTGCCTGTCAGGAGCAAATTTTTGATTGTTTTTTTAGTGTGGGGTGGGGAATAACGCTTTATGAGATTTTAGTTTACTTATGTGTTATCTTTATCCTACTTCTTCCTCTTGAAGTCGATTGAAAAAAAAAAAGATTCATTTCCTAGATATGTTGGCTTTCTGAGTGTGTGTGTGTGTGTGTCAGAGAACTGCGGACATAGGTTTATAAAAGAAAAATCAGCCATTTCATCTCTTGTCACCTTGTGCTCTTACGGATGATTAGTTGCTGCTTCTGTCTGGATTCTAACCAAGCTCTGAGATGTCTGACTAAGACAAGTTTTGTGAGTCTAGAGATCTGCTTTCTTCAACACTGAGAACCACAGCAGTAACCAGAGGGTTTAGGTATTGATTTTTGACCTGTGAGCGTAATGTTATCTCATCTGTTGGCAGCTAAATATGGCAATCTGTAGGAAAGGTCATGTTCTCAGACCTAATTAGGATAATCAGAAGAGGCAAATAACAAAAATGGAAAGTCCTAATAAAGACCTGATGGCAGAGTGCTGCCATGTTACTGCGGATGTGCAGAGCCAGGCTGCAGCACAGCTGAATTAAGAATCTAATGTCAAGAAACGAGACGTTGCTTTCCACGGCTCTTACCTCACTTATGCTAGTGATAAATTTTGTTAATTGTCTCCTCTTTTTTTGGAATGAATAATTAATTTATTTTTGTTCTGTTTCGTTCTCATTCTTTTAGTGGTTAGCTTTTAATCTCCTGCTTCTCCCTTTAATTGAGGTGGAGCCAAAACTTCGGTTGTTACACGTGAGAGGAAAGTGTTGGATGACTTAGAGCAGACTTGTGTCAATACTGAATACTCCTTCTTTAAAACAGATAGGAGGTAGGAAATAAATTACACTTCCTTTGAGACTAGGAACAAAATTTTGATGCTTGGGTTGGGTGCGTTTTCTTTCTGCACATGTGGAAAGTATATAATGGCCTAAAAAGTGAATGCTACCATGCAGACTGAGCCTACCACTAAAGTCCTACCTTTAGTAGAGCTGTGAGAGAGGGGATGAAAGCCATATTTTAATTCTTCCCTAAAGTTGTTCATCCTATGTCATCTTTGGAAGGGAAAATGAATTAATTCTCAGTTGTTTTTTTTTTATTTATTTTTGTCCGTTGTGCATTTTTTTTGTTGCTGTTTTTAGACGAGCAATTTTTAAACAATTTGCATTTTTTAAGCTGGAACTCTGTTCTTCAATGAATCATGAGTTGAGTTTAATTTTGCTCAAATACAGGAGAAAATGCTGGATCAGAGCCCTGTAACAAAAATATAGTAAATTAGTACTCCTTTTCTACCCTGGCAATATAACAGACTTCTGAGATTCACCATGCCCACAGGGGAATGGATCTGTTGGATGGAGTGCTAATGGGTGGAACTGTGCCTGAGGAAACCAGGCCCAGGTAGGGCTTTGTGGGATATTGCTTAGTCTTGTCCTTTCTCCATCCACCACACAGAAGTTCCTTCCTTATGGCGCTCTTTTAGAGCAGAGACCCTGGGGGTCCCTGCTTGTGACCTGTACTGCGCTTTCTAGCTTTTTATGAACTGGAGCTGATGTATTTCCTTTTGGGCAGAAGGCCCTTGGGTATCTCTTAATCTGCCTCTCAAGCGTTGTAGGAGTAGCAGAGCTAAGAGGGCGGGACATGTCAAGAAAAGCAAATTGAGTTCAGGCTTTTCTTTTGTGTGACGTCTTGGAGCCATCTGTATGATAAAAGTATTAAAAAATCTGCACTGATAAGAGCATTAAAATGGACCGTAATCTAAAAAGTACAGTTCTATTTTGGAAAGTGGTGATCTAAAAATGTCAGTTGGAGTCCAGCAGATCTATTCCTGTGACTATTAGAATATTACTCACTAAACTTAGTGACAAAAGTGCTATTTTAAAGTCTTAAAGAATGATCTGATTTTTTTTCCTACTGTATCATCTATGAAATAGTCTATTAACTTACCATTGTTTATGTCTGTTTGAAATTGTGTCATTTAGGAATTAAGACTGTTGCATAAATAATTATCTTCCTGGGCTTTTCTTCCTCTTAATAACAATCCATTTAGAATAGACAAACCCTGTTCCTCACCAAGGAAATCAAATATAAAATATTGTTAATGCTGAGATTAAAATCAATGCTATTTTTTTGCCTTTTCTGAACTTTTGACATGTGCATTGTCATGTGACAATGCAGTCACATGAAATATTCTGACTACTCAGAACATTAAGTACATTCTTGCAACAAAAACAAATCAAGCATTTACTTTCTGCAAAAAAGCAAGTGCTTTTTGTACAAAAAACCTAATTCTGTCGACCTCTGGTCAGAATTTGGTAGACTCACTTTCTCCTAAATGATACAGTTCTATCACGTTAGTAATGTTTTACAGATTTTTTTTTGTGAATTTCCAAAGGGAAATTAGGATAATTTCACAGAACAGTTTGAGATCACAGTATAATGATCTCAAAATATCGTTTTTTGAAACTCCAAAAGCAAAGTGGTTTGCCTTAACCTTTTCTCATATTGTTTCGAATATTTTATTTTGCATTTTCATTTTTCATATCATCCAGTTATTTAAACTCCCCTTCTATGATTTTTTCCAAGTACTTATAATCCTTTACTATTTTGTCAGTTAAGAATTAACCAAATTGCAAAGCTTTTAAATCCTTCCTGGATCCATATTTTTGTCGTCGTCGTCTTCTTTTTTAAAATCCCAGTGATGAGCTTTAATTTATAGAACAAGTTCTGCCACACTATTTCTGAACAAAAATAAAATCGGTATTTGGAATGCTGGGATTTAAAAATTTTCCTCTCGTTGCCTGAAACTGGTAAGTACCACATGATGAAAAGCTTGACTTGGAGACTAAAGCTACAACTGTTAAGTGGCAATTATTGGAGACTTCTTAAAATGGAATGTAATATTGTTTTGCTATTACAGTTCATAAAGAGGAAAAGGAGAAATGGGCACTGGTGCTGAGGAAAAAGACCTGTATTGCCTGTGTTGTAGTGTCAGAATGCAGATCTTTAGAAGGCAGAGACTATTGTCCCTTAGGGACTTGTATATCCAGTGTTACTGTTTTTATTTCCGTATTGGGTCCTCAGAGGTACCCGCGTTCCCTCCCTTGGAAATGAAGGCCTTATGCTTTCGTGTCTTCTCCTTTGAATTGGCATCAAGGTCTCGATCCATGAGTTACAAAAAAAAACAAAGCCAGGTATGGAATGAATGGGAAGTAGGAATTCGTTCATAGTTTGTGAAGAAATTTTTGCATAAGTGAGTTGAAAGGGTTGACATAAAGAATCATGAAAAGATTGCATCACCTGGGTCTCTTCTAGATCTCTGCAGATATCTCTGATTTAAAGCACTGCTGCTTTTTTTCCTCTTTTTTTCTTCTTCCTCCCCTCCCCCTAGTTGTGTTAAACCTTGTCCAAATAGTTAATTGAAATTGGTAGTGTGTTCCAAGGTAGCAAACTACATCTGTCTCTGAAAATGAATCAATACAATCATGAGAAATTCATGAAATAAAAGGGAAATACATCGCTGCAGTGCTGGGGAACATGAGTCAATATGCTTTATGTAATTATTAAACAAAACATCTTTTCTAGTGTGTTGAACCAGCCAGAGACACTGACGAAGTTGTTTTTATGCAGGAATAAACAAACTTCCAGTAAAAGCTGATGACCAGAAGTATGCAATTATGCATTTCCAGAAATAGTCATTAAACCAGTCTGCTTAAATTTTAATCAGACTTCTATGGAGGAAAACCACCTTGATAAGGGGGAGTAGGGGGGGAAAAAAAGGGCCTTTATATGAAAGGCTATTCAGATTTTCTTGTTCCCCAAATTATTTTTAATTTATCTTATGCATGGGAATGCAGACCTGTATAAAAATTTACAATATAAAATTCTATATGCTGGCTTAATTCTGTTTTATGGGAACCAAATTAGCATCAATTCCGAAATACTATATTGATAACAAAGACATCATAAAGAATAACGATGTGAGGATTAGACAGTGAGATAGTTGAAATACTTAAGCTTTTCTGTAGTCCATCAGAGAACTGTCAGAGGACTGTTTTTCAGTGGGTGAATACTTGTGGGAAAGTAGTCATAGGAAATGCTATTACACTGAAAAACTGCAAATCAGCAGGTACTTTCAGCAGTTTTGGCCTTCCTTATTTATCTTCCTGATATGTCTGAGCTAAATACTGCAAACTGTGTTACATCTTGAAAAATGAGAGGACATGTCCTGCCCAGGATCATAAGGAGAGTTCACGATAGAGTCAGAAATAGCCGTAAGAGGTTCCTGGCTCCAGATGCTGGAATTAATTCAATAGATGTCTTACTATTCTCTCAGACATTAGACGTGTATAATTTAATGGTCAATGACTCCGCGTTTATTTTCAGTCAGCCTCAAAGTAGCATCAGGATGCTCAGAGACAGTTTGCTTGCACAACTGGATGTGCAATAAATAGGCTATCATTTCAAGCCTTTACAAAAGTATTTGTAGACTTATTCAAACTCTCTGAAAAGGTGAGTTCAGAGAGCAGCCTACAAAATGTTAGTGCATCAAGATGAGTGCATGTGTCCATCCTTGGAAAAGGTCACTAACCTTTTTCATGGTTCACCATCTTATTTTTCAGCTGTTATCTGATGAACAAGTATTTGTGATAGCTCAGCCCCTCTCTTTGCAAATGCCAGTTATGAATATTGTTGCTTTAATGTTGAATTCTAATGGCCCATTGTGCTTTATCCTTCTAGGGAATCAGTAGCCTCTTCAGCTCACTTAAAGTGGTCAGGCTGCTTCGACTGGGTCGCGTAGCTCGGAAATTGGACCATTACATTGAATACGGAGCAGCGGTCTTGGTCCTGCTGGTGTGTGTGTTTGGTCTTGCAGCGCACTGGCTGGCCTGCATTTGGTACAGCATAGGAGACTATGAAGTTATCGATGAGGATACAAACACAATCCGACCTGAGAGCTGGCTCTATCAGCTGGGGATGTCAATAGGAACACCTTACCGGTTTAATGCGTCAGGCTTTGGGAAATGGGAAGGCGGGCCAAGCAAAGATTCAGTCTATATCTCCTCCTTGTATTTTACGATGACCAGCCTCACCAGCGTTGGATTCGGGAACATTGCCCCGACTACAGATGGAGAGAAGATCTTTGCTGTCGCTATGATGATGATTGGCTGTAAGTATTAGAGATTCTGCCCTGCATTATGCTAGACTGCAATGTGTTATGAATGCTGAGTGTAATAAGAATAGCTCTGGAATCATGCCAAATATTATTATGCAGTTTAAAAGCAATTTTTCTGGTGGCAATATAGGTACTACACACTTTTGTACTGGGTACTTTTAAAATCACAGGTGGAAGTATTGCTGTAACTAGTAAAAATTCATTTGAAATAGAAGCTATCCTTTCAATTTTCTATAGTAAGTAAGCAATAGAATGTGTAAAGTATGAAGTACAAAAAACTAATGTACTAGAATAAGCATAGACAACCTTTGAGTGTCTGTTTGGTATATGGCAAAATCTTTGTATGTCTGAGAGCTGTGTACATTGGAGAAGTGAGTAGGAGGAGGTCCAGGAGCATCTTGTGAGAAAGAGACTAAAGGAGCTTTGCAGAGGCCCCAGACTCCTGCCACTGTGGGCTGAGCATACGTTCAGATCTCAAAGCAACCAGGATAATACTGGCCTGGGGCACCTCTTCTGACTCGCTTCTCCCTGTGGCCAGGGATTCGCATTGCCCAGCTGTCCAGCTTTTGGTCCTGTTGTGTCACTTCAGTGCAGGATCCGCACTAGAAGCGCTTTGAGAGCTGCTTGCAGTTAAGAGCCGTACTTTGGCCACCCTTAAACTAAGTCATACTTTTTCTAGATAAAAGTGTGGACTTTGGATGAAAATAGGGAAAAATGTTACTACTTCAGAGACAGAAAAGCTTATTAGTGTATGGAAAGAGAAGGCAGCTTCTATATGATAATATTCCATTTAAAGGAGAAGAAAGTTAATCCTTGTTAAGCAGAAAATTAAAGCCAAATATAGAATGAAACCTAACAGCAATACAGTGCCTGTTATGATACAAACGTGTAGCCTTTTTTCTGATGTATGTTATCATTTTGCAGTGACACTGAACTCGTAATGAAATTACATGTTTAGTGTTAAGCAGACTGAAGGTTAGCGAGAGGAAGTAGAAAGGCAGGCATTCTTGCTTAGGTAGGGATAAAGATTTTTTAGCTATAAAAATTGTTAATTTTGTTATTCTAGCTTTCTGCCACTGCTGAGTTCTGTCATCCCATTAAAACACACTGCTTCCTTGTGAGAAGTGCATTAGACAGTGTAGCAGTGTAGCATAAAGCAGCTTTCCAAACATATTTCCTGATGAAGGTTCCTGTTTAATAGGAGATATCCTGACCTTTGGCTTGTTATTCATTATGTTATGCTCATTAAACTAGCTAGACAAGAAAAGGATTTGCTGACTGAGAGTACTCAGTGAATATGATCTTCATAAACTCCAGCATGTAAGTGGGGATGTTTTGGAATTGTACCTGCTCCACTCTCTTCATTTGAAAGTATGGTGTAAAAAAACCCCAGAAGTTATGAGGTTAATATTGATGGGTACCTGTTCTGAATTCTAAAATGAACTTTAATGGAAAGGGCGATCTAGCAATTTTAAATCTATCTCATGAACACAATCAGATTTGATGTAAACAATTTTGTTTGTACTCTGTTGGCCTTTTGGAACCTTAAACATCAGACCCAGTAAACGTCTGCACATCTGAGCACCTTTATCCTGTGGACAACTACTTGGAAACCGTTAGGACTGTTCACATCCGTGTTTGCCTGAGTAGCAGCTAAGTAATCCAATTTTTTAGTTTACCACTCTGGCTTTTATAGTGGCTTGATTGCATTTAACACGCTGACAGTAAAGGTCACAACACTTTTGACATGACGAACTTCGAGACTTCCAGAAGCTTCCACTGATTGTTAGATGGGAGCTTGCAGTAAACCCTTCTGTACTGGTTGCCTGGCGATTTGTGTTAGTAAGGAACCTTCCAAAAGGAAACAGCGACTTTTGGAGAAGCTCTGATGCAGTATTTCTCTGAATTTCAGCAGGGAGAAAGTAAGTAGCTTTTTTCTTTTTTTCTCTTTCTACAAGGAATTATTGTCAGGCTTAGCTGAATTTGGAAAATTGTCTTTGTGCATTGCTGCTTGTGTTAAGGTAATATTTTGGTATTGTCAAGATAGTAATTTGAACGTTGACATATCTCCAGCAAGAGTCACATGCCATGACCGGAGCAGGAGAGGCCTGAGGCGGCCCTAGCTGTCACCGGCACTGTTGGGCAGTCTGTTGGCCTGGGCCTCTACCCTCCCGCAGCCCTGCTGGGAGCTGCACGCACGGCTCTGCTCGCCCGCCTCCCTCAGAGGTGCCCTGCTGAGCAGCAGTCCTCGCCCCCTCCGCCGGGCAGCCTCGTGACGCATGACCCACTCAGTCTTTCTCCCTCACCCCTAATTTTCCAGATATTCAGCAAATGCTGCAGAATGCCAGTCCTGCCACTTGCTTTTGGCAGCAAGCGTGATCACAACACCGCAGCTTTGCTCGCTGCGTGGCTGACATGGAGCTTCTGGTTCTGAGCTGTGGCAGTTCCTCAGGATGGGAAGAATGAAATAGATTTGTTCAGGTTGCAGGTAGTTGGAGCTTAATTGCTGATCGGCTTTCCTCCACTGTAAAATTCCGTGTTAAAATGACGTTATTTTGTCTGTGGAATTAAGCTCTCAAACACTGATCTGGGGCTGTTTTATGAGGACTTTGTCTAATCTGTTGGCAGCCTGGAAGGTACACAGCAAATGTATCAGGAGGTCGATTTTGGAAAGGGGAAAGAAAATCTAAGTCTAGCTAAAGCTTTTGTATGTCACACAGGAAAATCCATATTTGTCCCTGGCCAACTGACATGTTTTCCTATGTCCCTGACAACTCACTTATATCACAGTTAGTAGCCATCTGGTCTTGTTATGTTCCTCGTTTTCCAGGTGTCACATCACTTAGATTTGCACATGGGATGGATAGGGCTGTGGCTGTCCAACGTGCCAGAAGCAAGCAATTCCAAATCAGTTCTGCCAGTGTGCTACCGCCCACTAGCAGAAGTAAAAGTTTTATGATTTCTCTCTTATACTTTGGCTATTAATACTGCATTTATTTTAGTATCCATCTAGGCATGCAGTTCTTAAAAATAAGAAGTGTTACAAAGATTGCGGGTCATGCTTATACTAATCAGATGTACGTGTATTGAGAAGCAAGTCTTTTGCAGGTAGACTTCAAAATCATTTGAAATTAAATTGGCAAGCGGCTGAAAACTTCGTGTTATTTGTTCATAAAGGTGCCTATGCAATGAATGACTTATTTGGGGTGAAATATGGTGAAAGAAAATACTTTAATAAGCTTCCGGTGCAAGTTGACTTGTATCATAAAGTTCTTGACTTTGGCAGAAGAAAGATTTAAAAGAGATCAGAGGAGCGTGTTGCGGTAATCTCGCAGCACTTCAGATCTGATTGTTCTAGAAACTGAAAGGACAGAAGCCTTGAAAGCTAGTGGATTATGGACTTTTCCATAGACATCTATAGATTAAATATTTACCGGGGATATGGGCTTTGGGTTAGATCTTGCAATTTATTGAGCATCTTTAAACTGTGACAGGGTTCATAACAGCTAAGGTGTGCTTGGTGTGGTATCAGACCTCTGCCCCTTAATGGAGAAGAATAATGTCATTTTATTAAAAAATAAGCATACAAATGTAGGATCGCACTGAAGATCCTTTTCATCATTCCCACAGTTGTAACAACATCCATGTGTGCGCTGACTTCAGTGGTGTGTAAAGGCAACAGTTCATTTCTAATCTTTCAGCAGCACAGGGTATACTATTTTCTTTCCGTGAAGGGTGGGGAGAAAGCCTCTAACTCTTTGACTGTGTAAAACTCCAGTTGAATATAGGTAGGATTTGTAGAGTCTAACCTCAAATTTTCTGCTCCGTTTGCTTCCCTGCTAAAGGATAAGTCTTTAAGAACTGCGTGAATTCATCTTCTTTTTGGAGTAGGTAGATGTGGTCTTGGCAAAAATAGACACACGCAATCCAGTGATAGAAGTAAAGTGCCAGTCATTTTACAGCCTTTTTCCATATGAAATGGAAACTGCCCTGGGTGGTGTTGATGATTGTTTTTCTGTTTAGTTGAGCAAGACAATGTGTTAGCAAGATTGCTTTTGAGGTTCCAAAACTGCCACTGTAGTATCACCAGAAATGTTATTTAGGGATAAATATATAAAACCTAGCATTAGTATTTCAAAATGATTGCAGCAAAATTATATTTTTAATAGGCTTGAAATACTTAATAGGAAGATAATTTTTTCCCTTTGGGCCAATTAACCTCCCAACTGTGAATAAATAATAAAAATCCTATTAGCGTAGTGAGTATAGATTTAGATCAACAGAAAGAAAATAATGACATTTCCTTCTCTTTGAGTTTTTTTTCCCCTCTGCTCTTTTTAAATAATAATAAGCACTCTGTCAAAAAACTAACAGCTTGTAAAACCGTACCGTGGCCAGCCAAACCCATGGTGACAGTTTTATTGACAAGATCACCTTTGAAATGTTCACCTTCTCTTTATTGGTAAGAAAGTGAATTTTATTAAAGCGGGGATGGTGGTCCACATGTGTGAAATGCCGGTGACCTCCCGGCTCTTTGCACCGGCCGGCTGGCTGGCTGGGTAGCTGGTAGACGGAAAAGGAGCGCAGGTGCCCGTGGGGTGCATGGTGAGCACTTGCCTCCCACTGGTGGCTGACAGAGAAACTGCAACAGTGCGCTGCATGCTCGTTCCTAAAGGGATTTCTTTGGAATTGCATTTAGAGTCATAGTGCTGCACTCTGCGCCCTGTTGCTCGTTTTTGGTGGGAATGGTCTTGACTTGAGGCTGCTGTGTGAGCTACGCAGGCACGATTCGGTGGGTGCGCTCGCAACCACTTCCCTGGAGCGCAGCGGCTGGCGTCAGTGGAGCGAAATGAAGAATCCACTTTTAAAAGTGGGAACTCATCTTGGTGAACTTGTTAAAGAAAAACACAAACGCACACCTGCACATGCACTACATTATGATGTTTATAAAAAGAAAAAGCATATATTTTTCTCATTTGTTTCCCCCCCCCCCC